CCCCGCCCACCTGCCCCTTAAAGTGCCGCCCCCCAGGCCGCTGATGGCCTGGGGGTGAAGGGGCTGTGCGTCCAGGGCCGAGAGAACAGGGCTATGGTGGCTTGGCCGTCTCCTGAAGGACGGTGATTGCTCTCCCCACAGGGCACACACGTGCCCTCCTGCCAGGCCCAGGGCCCTGCCCTCTGTGTACCCCTAGGGCGGGCGAGCTGAGGGACGGGCGTCCCATGGACCCTGGTGTGCCGGTCCCGTGTCACGACAGACCGGAGGGCCCCGTGAGTCCTTTGCAGTTTGCGGGCACAGCGCCGGGTCCTGGGTCGGAGTGAGCCCGGTGGGCCCCCAGTGCTGGCTGGCACTGATGCAGACACAGCGGGGCACACGGCTGCGCGGAGCCCATGGGCCCTGCCGCCCCATTGGGGACCTGTGTTCTCAGGGCAGGCCTCGCCCCTGCCACCAAGGGAGCCGGCCCCATGGCCCCTCAGCCTCCCCCGCCCCCTCTGCAGCTCCTGCTCCCAACGCAGAGAACTGGAGTGTTCAGAGAACTGGAGTGTTCGTCCTGACCTTATTATTTGCTAATTGCTTGAAGCACACAATTAGCACCTAATTAACATAAAAACAGAACTTTAGCACTCAGAAGGGTCCCAAAATTATCTAGATCAACCCACTCTTTTAGGAGAGAAAAAAATAAGATGGAAGGAGTGATTTGCCCAAGGTCACCCAGCCAGAGACAGAGGGACAGACCCAGGATGGGAACCAAGACTGCAGTCCCTGCTGGCTGTCACCAGCTCTCATGGCCCTGTGGTGAGGCTCGGCCTCCCATCTGTCCTGACGCCTGACTCCTCGACCCTCACAGCAGCCCCAGGAGGCAGGCGGAGGGTCTGTGAGTCTGCAGACAGCGTCTGCCCCGTCGCTCCCCCGGTGTGGGCCCAGCTCATGGGTCTCGGAACATGGACGCCCTTTGATTTTCTCCTCAGTTAGGAACCTGTGTAGCCAATAGTTTTTTTTTTTTTTTAATTAATAAATAGTGATTTATTTATTTATTATTATTTTTTTTGAAATTTCAACCAGACAGACAGAAGAGAAGTGAGAAACCAAGCCACCAGGCCTGGGACTTGAACTCACGTTGGTCTTGCGGGAGTTTGGCACTTTCACCACCGTGCCACCTGCTGGCCCCCATAGGGGCTCCCTGGAGGTGTAGGTGGCAGAGCACCCTTCTAAGCAAACTCCCATGCCCGCGTGGCCTGCGTGGCCCCTCCGGCCAGTCTCCCAGCACTCCCACCTGGTCATGGTCGACATCGGCGTCTCCTGTGATCACAATTCTCTTCTCAATCCGGGTCTCGGAGATCCCGCCCTTCACGGTCTGGGGCCAAGAGGAGGCAGACACGTGAGACCAGGGAGGTAACAGAATGGCAGGCGTGATCCGAGCGCAGTGCACCTGCAGCCGATCCGCCCGGGACCCAGCCCGCAGGACCGGGCCGAGCTGCTACACAGAGGCTCTGCGTCCTCGTCTCCCGATGCAGGACATCCGGCAGGGGGCGGACAGCTGTCTCCCTGCCTTCTCCTACACGTTTTCCTTGATTACTTTTAAGAAGAAAAAGAAATCGGGACCTACGGTTGGTGTAATGGCTTTGTCGCTGGACTCTCACGTAGTCGACTGAGGTTCGAGTCCCGGGCCCGGTGGCTTAAACTCACGCCGGGCACACATGTGTGTGCGTGCCCAAGATCCCGAGAGGAGAATGGAGAAGGGATTGCGGCATGACCATCCCTGCTGGGGAGTGATTTCTTGCTTTCTGTCTCTCTGTCTCTCTCTGTCTCTGTTTGGTGAGCGTATGCGCCCTATAGCGAAAACCTCTCAAAAAAAAAGAAAAAGAAATCAAGAGGCTATGAACAAAAATGCTACACAGCTTGAGCTTGCCCCCCCCCCCTTTGAAAAAGTTTTTCCAGGGACCGGCAGTTAGCGTAGTGGCTATGTCGCTGGACTCCCACGTAGTTGACCACGGTTCGTGTCTCGGACCCAGTGGCTTAAAACTCACGCCAGGCGTGTGTGTGTGCGTGCCCAAGATCTCGAGAGGAGAATGGAGGAGAAGGGATTGCAGTGTGGCCATCCCCCCCGGGGGGTGATTTCTCGCTTTCTGTCTCGATCTCTCTCTTTCTGGAGAGTGCATGTGCCCTAAAGCAAAAACTTCTCCAATTAAAAAAAAGAAAATGTTTTTTCATATTATTGATGTGAAAGGATTTTCCAGGCCCAGCGGGTGGCCTGGTGGTTAAGGGTGCTGGACCCCCACATGGCTGACCACGGTTTGAGTCCCGGATGTGGTGACTTTCTCTCTCTGTCACTCTCTGATCAAATTTTTAAAAAATAAAAGTTAAATAACATAATTCTTTTTAAAAAAAGGATTTTCAAATAACATCCTGAGGGCGTGAAGCTCCCCTTCGGAGAGCTGAGGAGACCGAGGTCTAGACACACTGGGAGCCGGCCAGGGCCAGGGTCTCTGACTGAGAAGCGACGCACTCGCTCTAGTGCTAAAGCGAATGTGGAGTGTCTCTGACCGGCCTGGGGTAGCCCCTCCCGCACCCCACAAAGCACAGTCTCCCAGTATTTCAGTGTGTAACCTGCGGTCTCCACGGCGTGGAGCCCTATCAGACTGGAGTAGGATTTCTGGCTTGGAAATATGGCTGCTAACACCACACGGTTCATGCCCACAGAGAGCTTTCTCTTTCTGCCCCAGAGAGCGCGGGGTGGGGGGGGGCCAGAGAGGCAGGTCTCCCCTCGGGACCCTGGAACCCTCTGGCCCTCAGGGATGGAGGAAAGCCCGCCCGCCCTGCACCCCGGCGCCGGCCGGCTATACCTTGGTGATCTGGGTCGTGGTGGTGCTGCTGGTGGTCTCAGAAGTGATGGTCTGCGCTGTCAGCAGGACTCCGGGGTCCAGGTCCCCACTGCGGTCGTCGGTCTGCGGGAGAAAGTGTCATCAGGAAGCCGGGGACTGGGGGCAGCCAGAGCAGGCAGCTGGGACCCTGGCCGGCCGATGTCTGCTGTCTCCCTTCACAGGGCCTCCTGAGCAGAGTGCAGACGCTGAGCACCCTGGCTGCCAGTGCTGGCCCGGACAGCTCTGCCCACCCCCTTCTCTCCCGTCCCAGGCTCACGCTGTCCTCGCACACCAACACCCCCAGGTCAGAGGTGCTCTGGGGACTCTGCTCATCAGCCCCCAGACGGCGAGCGGGAGCCACGGTCCCTGGCCACGTCAGCACCCTCTGATCTGTGACACCCAGATGTCAGCCTGGCTGGCGGCTCAGAGCTCCTGGAGGGAGGAGCCGTTGTGCCCTGCTGGACGCTGGCTTGCCCTCTCAGATCTGGGGCTCCCCCTCCCCCTCTCAATAAATAAAAGACGACGGGGCCTGCAGGTGGCAGAGCAGTTCTGTCGCTAGACTCCCACGCGGACGGCCATGTTCGCGTACGAATCTGGGGCCTTGAAAATCATGCTGGGCGCGTGTGCTTGTGTGCCCGAGAAGAGAAAGGACTGCGGAGTGGCTGTCCCCCTGGGGAGTGATTCTCATTTTCCCTCTCCCTGTCTCTGTCACTCTCTCTCTCCAGCGAGTGCGCACGCCCTATGGCAAAAGCCTCTAAAAAAGGAAATAAATAAAACCAAATCAAACGAAGCCCCCACGAACAAACTTGGTAGCAGAGGTGGGTACGTTCTCAGTGCTGGGGCAGTGACAGCGGGTCAGAGCAGAGGCGTGCGGCCACCCTCCCCCGGCCACAGTGGCCGGCCCGGCGCCGCGGCTCAGTGCCCGAGAGCTCCCACACCTGTGTGACACGCACATCGCCCCGAGGGGCCGGTGTGACCTCGGCCGGGAAGGCACGGGAGTTCTGGGTCCGAGGGAGGGATTTCTAGAGCAAACTGGGAAGAGTCAGGGACTCTCAGCCATCTCCCTGTAACTGAGGCAGGCAGAGGTGGGAGCCGGTGAGGTGGGAAGCGTCCCTTTCCGAGAAGGTGGGGAGCCTGGCCCTGCCCTCCGGTGTCTTGGCTTCTCCGTGCAGCATCTCCGATGATGGCCTCCTTTCTCTTCCTGCGGACAGGTGCGATTCTCAAACCACATGGCTTGTGCAGGCAGGGTGGGCCTCAACGCAGGCGTCACGTGTGCCCGACCCACACATGCTGAGCGTCAGGGGCACTGGGGTGCATGGGGAGGCAGGCTCTCTCCCTTCCCAACCCGAGTCCCGTCCCCGTCCCCTCCACAAGGGCCATTTCTTTTCCATTTTTGTGGTTTTTAAATAGCTGTTCAGAGACATTGCACACGGCTCCGCACACACACGGCTCCGCACACACAGCTCTGCAGACGCACGGCTCCGCAGACGCACGACTCCGCGCACGCACGGCCCCGCATACACACGGCTCCGCACACACGACTCTACACACACAGTTCCACAGACGCACGGCTCCACAGACGCACGGCTCCGCACACGCACAGCTCCGCAGACACATGGCAGAAGGACCCCCACGCCCTCGGCCCACACTTGCGCCTTGACCTGTGCATCTCACACGGCTGCCACCTGAAGCTTTTTTTTTAAGAGGTTTTTTTATTAGGGCATGTGCACTCCTAGGGGAGAAAGGAGGGTGGGAAGAGAGAGAGAGACGGTGATAGGGAAAGTGAGAAATCACCCCAGGGGGGATGGCCATGCCACAGACCCTTCTCCTCTATTCTCCTCCTGGGATCTTGGGCACGCACGCACATGCACCTGCGTGATTTTCAGGTCACTGGGTCTGAGACTCGAACGATGGTCGGCCACGTGGGAGTCCAGTGACATAATCACTACGCCATCTGCTGGCCCCCACCCGAAGCTTTTTACACTGGCCCACAGCATGGCCATGGCCAGTGCGCTGGAATCTAACTGCTCCCACTGGCGGGTCAGGTTGTCTTGGTGTGGTGCCAGACCCCCCACCTGCCAGCTGCCTCAGAGGGCCCCCCCAGGCCCCCTGTCTCGCCCCTTCCAGGCCCTTCACCACCAAGCCCCACACCCCATCCCTGGCCCCCTCAGCCTACGCCTCGAGGCTGCAGGAACACGAGCACACGCACACGGCTGCACACGCTCCCCAGACGGTAGCCTTCACTGCGACTTTCACCCGAGAGCCAGGGGGAGTCACTAGGGACCTGCCAAATGTCGTTCCAGCTCAGGCCCGTGACAGAAAAGGCAGACACAGGTCCACGCTCGCTAGCCCCTTCCCCAGCCAAGGAAACGGAAGTGAGGGACAGGCCAGCAGGTGGCCTGTGGACTTCTCGCCCGTGGGGATGGCCATGCCACACTCCCGCCTCCATTTCGGGATTCCGGGCACACACATGCACCTGGCGTGTTTTTCAAGCCGTCAGGTCTAGGACTTGAACCAGTGATCTGCTAGATGGAATCCAGCAGCCTTAGCCCCCAAGTAGGCCTTCTAATTGCCAAGCTACGCTCTTGGAGAAGGGGAGGTGACACCCCCAAGCTGCGGGACATGGGAGGCACTGAAAAGGCATATATGGGGGTGCCCAGCCAGGACCCCTACGGCTTCCGCCATCTGGGTTCAGCCGCGATGCCCCCCCACCGCCCCAGAGTGGCCTCTCCTGCACCCCCACTGTCTGACCGCACCCCCTTGCATCTCTTCCTGCACAGCTGTGGCCTGTGGCCTGCTGGAGCGCAGGCGGCACGGCTTGGCTGACGTGCACGCGAGGCCCCGAGAGGCCCCGAGAGGCCCCGAGAGGCATCCCTGGCAGAGGGAGATTTCTCCTACTTTGGCTTCTGTGAGTAAAAACATGAAAAATGGCTCAATATAGACCCATTCTAGTCCTTTCAAATTACCAAAAAAGGGGAGATTTTACAGAAGTAGGAAGTGTCCACTTTGACAGCTCCAACGGCACCACGAGGCAGACAGTGGCATCGTGGCAGGGAGCGCGGGCGCAGGCTCGTCAAGAGCTCGTCCGAGTCGGCGGGTGTCAGAGCTGGGCCTGCAGCTCCGGGCTCTGTGAGCAGAGCCTGCCTCCCACCACCACTCGGCCTGTCTCCCTGCACTGGGTGGGCGGGTGTGAGCAAGCAGACCCAGGGCTGTCCGTCCTTCCGTCCCTCCTTCCTCCCTCCCTTTTTCTTTCTTTCTAAGAGGTTTCTGTCTTAGGGTGCACAGGGGAGAGTGAGAAACCACCGCCCCCAGGGGATGGCCACACCCCAACCCCTCTCCTCCCAGGAGCTCAGGCAGACACACATGTGCCCGGTGTGATTTTGAAGTCCCCTGGTCCGGGACTCGAACTGCGGTCGGCCATGTGGGAGTCCAGCGACATAACCACTACCTCATCTGTTCCAACAACTTTACTTTTAGTAAGTCTTCTCAGACACCCTTCGGTCAGTACTCGCTTCCAGAGAGAACTCTCCGGAAACACCTGGGGCTATCAGCAGCGAATGGCCGGAAGCCCTCCCACTGGCCTGGCCTCCTACCTGGGCAGCCTCGTAGGTGATGGTCCTGGTCTCCGTGTGGACAAGAGGGACGTCCTTGGTCGGGATCTCACCCTTGGCCGCACTGGCCGTGTCCGAGATGGTGACCGTCTGCGTCTTTACCAGGGGCGGCTGTAAGGCAGCAGAGTGGTTATGGGCCTTCCGCCGCCGAGAGCCACCTTCTGACACTGACCTGATCCCAGGCCTGGCGCTAATCAAG